CCACCACCTACCATCCCACAGATGCATGCCACCCAGCCGCCTACTCGGATGAGCCGTCGTACGAGTGTCCCGAGTCGGGACAAGAGCGAGCAAAGAGGACACTTTTTTCTGCTATTCAAAATAAGACAAGCCGCTGCAAGTCGATGCCGCGAGATGTGAATTTGAGTGCACACAGAACACACAGTGGCGGTCACATGTCTATGTACTTGATCGAAACTTGTCTTCAAACTGCATTTGTTTTCGAGCATAGAGACAATACTTTCCGTATATTTTGGTAGGCCGCATTGAAAAAAAATAAACAATCAGGTTATTAAACTCAAAAATCTCTTGTATATCGTATTTAGATAAATATTACTATATTCACTAATTATGTGGCTGTTTTCAACAGAACGAAAGAAGTACTACAACGAGCGTATTCTTCTGTCCGACACTGTAAAGTTACTGTAGAGGTACTCGTGGAGAGCTCATATGCATCAAGTGCGTTTTCCAGCGTAAAAAAAGTATAAAATCGTGCAAAGTGTCTGTAAACATTTATTTCAAAAATTTATGAATATTGTTCTCGCTCAGCAATCTCAGCAGCGACAAACAACAACAGTTCTCAGCCCTCCCTACTGCCCTACCGCCCTACCCCGCTAACAACCCACTTCCTCTACCCCATTGCCACAGTTCTTTTCAGCTTTGAAATTGTTCTGGCAACGCCATTGTCTACTTGTTTCTCTACGTGTAGTTGAATCCATGCATGTGTGGGGCCATGTGTGTGTGACATATTGTTTCGAGACATGATACTTTTATTTTTCCTATGTCATGCATTGGGTGGTAATACATGTGTACCTCTACCCAGTGAAAATGCTCTGCAGATGCGAAAATGCAAATAACATTGCTATTCTATCGACCACTATCACATAGAGTCGCGTTTTTGAAGAAAAACGTATGGAACTAAAATAGGATCATAAGAGGACTATTTTTAGAACTTTTTCAGAATACTTTTCGAGAATCCGTTAAATAAAATCAGACTTGGCACCACCCGTATTTCTTATTTCGACGACTAATCGGAGTTTATTCTATGATCCCGTACTCTTCGTTGGATACCAACATCTCGATCCGCCGCATATTTTACCCGTTTCTTATAAAAAAAAACGTTTGATTTGTTATAAAATTTAAAATATTTTGATAAAGATTTACAAAAAGAATTTTTAAGAATTAAATTTGATCAGATATATTAGTGATTTTGAGAGCAACCGAGAGCGGGTTTCTAATTGTTAATGTATTTATTGATTTAATGTCTTAGCAATTAGTGCCAGTGGCAAAATTAAACTTTTGGAGTGCACTTTGAATGACAAAAAATTGTGGATGCAGGGGCCTGGTTGAGTAAATCACATCCTCATTCTTTAAACCTACAATTACTGGGAGCAACTTTCCAAAATATATACATATGTACATATGTATGAAATGAGTTTTAGATAATTATTGATCCGAAATATTCCAATATGTATACGACTTTTGCTCCGACGATTGTGAGGGGAATGGGATCCCTCAGTGGATCCGATGATTTTATGTGTGAATGTGAACCTGTTGTTAGTGGAATCAGGATAACACAGACACAGTCCCGGTCCTGATAGCGGTGCTCCTCCCCAGTACTGTTACTGCGTGTGTATGGGTGGAGCATTAGTTTTTGTCCCTGCTGTACAACTTCTCTGTTTTCCTTTCCTTTTTTCTTGCGTAGCGCATTACAACTGACAGGCGCCCGTCATACACACACGCACGCACACAATACACGTACCCATACTGGCACACACACCTACTGTGCCCCACAGCAGAACATACATACATTCTGCCACATGTCTGGAGTCGTACACGACCATTAGTCTTCTCTTGTCGTCATCATGCACAAAAAAGTTGTCGTCTCTGGTTAACTTTATCCAGCCTTACTCCACTTTACTTGGAGCGCTGCCCTCGGGTTATGTTATCCCCCCCGCCCCCCTCCTCGCCCTTCGTCCCTTCTTGTTGGTCGGAATTTTCGGTTTGGTTAAACTTTAGTTCGTCCATTAGGATAGCATTTTGGAGTACGTCCCATCCCCATCCCCATCACCCATCACCCTTCCACCCTACGCCTTTTACCTCTGTTGTTATTTAATTATCATTTTTCACTCCTGTTACAGGTGTGGAAAATGCTGTCATCGCATATGTTTAGACAGGATTTTTTTTACTACTTTCTTTTGCTCGTATGGCACGCAGACGGGTTGCAAATTCAATTCCATACAGTGTGGAAGTTTATAGTGAGTACCTAGTGGTAAGTATCTGATCACTGGTCTTTCTCCTCCACTTTTCTTCTATTTGGTAATTGTTCTCATCCCTTTTCTCTATCTTCATAAGGCTTTAACATTTCTACAACTTATACTTCTTTTCTTCCGGCCTTGCCGGTCTTTTGTTCCTGTCTGTACTTATTGTTCTAACCTTTTTATATTTTATTTGTTTTTTTACTTCCGCGTTAGGTTTTTGTTGTTTTAAAAATACATATTTTCTCTTCTTTTTTTTTGATTTAACTTTATCTTTTTGTCTAGTTAAACTTTTGCCATTATTCTTAGCCATTTTCCTAGTTGCTACTGTGATTTTGTTCTTTCTTTTTTTTCCTTCTTTCTCACATTGTTTCCTTCTTTTGTTATCATTATTTTGCTCTGACCTTTATTTCTCTCCAGCAGATTCCCTCATGTACTACTCTCTTCCATCTCTAACAGCCATTCTTCTTCGGTTGCTTCCCCATTTATCCATTCTACTTCCATTTGCTTCCCACTACCATTCCACTTTGCTTACCGCAATATTTAAGGAACTTCAGAAGCTCATAAAATCTTGTTCGGTTTACACTGAATCTCATCTCCTTGTGTCTCATCACAGCGTTTGATCTCATTTCGCTTGAATTATTTATTGCCATATATATACGTACTACAAATTTAAATAAACAACTCGTATATCCGCATATCATTATGCAAATTACAGAAAATATTCCAAAAGAAAAACCGCAAACGTAAGCGAATTTCGTAGTGAAAATATTGGAGAAGGAGAAAGAAAAAGAGGCAAAGAGACTCGGGTAAAATGGCTTTATTGAAATTCCATATACGCCTAGTTGGCCAAATTAAATCCTTAACCCAGAGGCCACCTGACCTTCTCACAAACTCTTAAGCCGCTCTCCACGTGGCAGCTTCTCCCCCCTTTTCCCCTGTTCCACTTCGTTTTTCCGAGCAACTCGCGAGTGATATGTGTAAAAATATACAAAATATTAAGTAAATAAATCAAAATCGAAAGAAGACAACAAAATGTCAACTACAATCAATTTTAGACGCACACATACACACACACCGATGCACCCGTGCACCTGCCACGGCTGCTCATGATGACGATGTTGGCAGAAAACCCAACCCCTTCCTTTTGGAAACATTTTAAAAAGATTTTGAAATTCCACAGAAATTGAAAACGTTGCTTATTCAACTTCCTCCATGCCACTGTTTCAATCCCTCTCCCTCTCACCACTGCTCCCTTTCTGTCACCCAGTGTCTAAATGTCTGTGTGTCTGTGTGTGCGTATGACTTTGTCTGTATTTGCGGAAAGAGGCAACAAGCCAAGTTAATTAGCAAAAAGCAGATAACGTCACACAAAAAAGGAGCAACCATCTAAGGCCATCTAAAGGTCTGATTGGAAGGGCGGAAGGGCGGCGCAAGGGGTGCCCGGAAAGGGCTGGATTCTGGTTAGGACCTCCACTTAAGAGCGGGTTTTTGATGTCAGCGCAAATTGCAAAGAAAATGATTTATTATCTGCAAAAGGCAATTAAGTAAAATTGCTTGAAAATTATTTGAAAAAGACAAGCCAGAGTACTCCCATACGCAAAACGGCAGAAGCGGAAGGGAAGCTGAGTTAGTGGATATCCCGGATTGAATTTACGGTGACCCAGACGCTTCCAGGCTCCAAACACTTGTTGAAAACAGAACCTGAAGTCTTTAATCAAAAGACTCACATATTCACTGCAAAAATATTTTAAAAAGGTGTTTAACGACTTTCACATATGCAAAGCTACAAATTTTCAAATCTTTTTGCTTTTGGTACATGTTAGAAAATTCCAAATACAGATGGATGAAAGAGCTGAGTTCAAAAGTTCAGAGCCAAGGTTACAAGCTAATTTTTAAAAAATATATTTAAAGTCAAAACAGAGAGAGAGAGAAAAGTTATTACAGTCCATTTTGGTTCATGGTAATCAGAGATGATCAGAGGGTTAAAACTAATTTAAGGATCCCAGGGACCTGCTGGAAAGAACGACCACACATTGGGCTGTGCTCCCAAGACAATGTTTAACACACTTTTTTATTTGAATCGGCTGTAAAAGAAATATATATTCTTACATTTACATATTTACATATTTAATGCCGCGTTTTATCAAACATAATTCCAGCCTTAGATGAAAGAGTAGCAGAACACGAACGAGAACGAACTAATTACAAATTCAAGCCCGAAGAGATTATTAATTAATAAATATTTTATGTTCTATCTCTGAACTCGAAGAAATACAAACTCCAGTCAGCCATTTCGTGGAACGAAAGGAAAATGAACGAACGCGAATACCTACGTATAATTATGTACACATGTACATACCCGTGCATACATATATACATACATACATTCAAAGAGAATCAGAAAAGGGAAACAATCCTAAATTTTAAAAAACTACCATTCATTTGGTACCTTAGTCTTAATGTATTTCTTTCTTATAAAGCTCTAATAGGCCGTCTAGTCCGTTGGTCGCTCTTTCAAAGAAATACTTAAATACATCGAACTTGTTTCCTTGTGAGATCTGCAAAAATGTCTATCCCCGGATAATCCATTGCTTGTACGTAGATTGTAACTAAAGGAAGGAACAACTCTCGGAGAAATAGTACGAAATAGTGGCACACAATATGCAGGCGTTTATCTGTCGATCTTCTTTTTGGCCATCTGATGAAGTGGCTAGAGCTCACCTTTTGCTGCGGTGCTTTCACTGTCTCGCTCTCCGTTCCACTGTATTGGCTGCTCCTGTGAGATGCGTTGTTATTCGACCAGTAATCTGGATTTTAAGGCTCACACACAGAACTGCACTCAGGCAAGGATTTGGATAGAGTTATGTTGGCGGTTAATTTAAATTTGGAATTCAAAACTTGTCGCTCAATTGCCAAAACCTCGCTTTCGAAATGTTCGAAATTCTATTTCTTGGATTAGCACAAAACCAAAACAAAAATATTTTTAGTTGCTTTCACGCGTTCAGCTGATTTCTGTACACCGTTGACTTCTAAGATTTTGAAAATTTAACACGTTTTGAGAGTTTACGCGCAAAAAAAAATTCCTTCCCTGGGGCTTGAGCTGCTCTGTGAAAAGTAGCTCTGCGACTGAGGCTTGGGCTGAGACTGAACCGAACCGTTTACAAATGGGGGCTGCAAGCAGTGCAGGATGGAATTATACGATGTGGTCTCGTCGGGAGCCGAAGTTCGTTCGTGTTGTCCTTTATCGTCAGTGCACGATGGCTTGTTGATGCCGAATGTTGTTCACGGACGAATTTTTTTTTATATATTCTTAGCCCTTATGTCCTGACAACAACAAAATTACATTTTACATATTATAGCATATAAAAAAAATATATCAAAGAATTAGAAGTAATATTTATATATTATGTAAAAGAACATTTCATGAATGGCTGCATAAAACACACTCACTATATTATGTGCCTTTCACTCGCACTTATTGCTAGCATACGTTAAGGGACGGCTTTTTGCCGCCGAGACCACCTTGTATAATTCCATCATGAAGCAGTGTAAACGCAGATTTATCGTTCAAATATACCGTCCGACCCTCAGAAATGTACTAAAATATACCATCTCATTTTAAAAATATACCATAAATATACTGACGAATTTAAGTTGTATTATACATATGTTATTCCTCAATTTTGGTATTCCGTCGAATATTACTAGCTAGCTAAGACTTCCATGCCGGAACACATTATTTTCTCCGACTGATAGATCAATTTTCTACAAGATATGCGTATTTTAGGAACTCTTTGCTGTTGGATTGTGTTTAAAACAAGGTTTAAATATAAAAGGTCAACAAAATGTACAAGAAAATGAGTGGTAACAGAGAGGTAAATTAACTTTATTTTGAAGTCGAGCCAATTTTGTGAACTTTTGGATTCGACTGGTTATACGGAGTAAATAAAGATTTAAAATCCTATAATACATATTGAGACTGTTTCGGAAGACACCACTCTTCCTCATCAGCAATCTTTTCTTTTTCAATAATGAAAAAGATGGTAAATCGGACAGCCTTTATTTCTGCAGCAATTGGCTTATTTTTATAAATTTAAGGGGGCTGCGCGATTTTCAGCATTTTGTTAATATTTTCTATTCACAAAAGCCATCGTTTATTATGCCGTTTTTTTTTTTTGGCATAAGGGCTATTCTTTTCCGAATATAACTGCCCTTCCTTTATCCATTTCATTAGATTTTCGTCGTTTATTACTTTACGCTTCTTTTCTGCTATTATAATTTTATTGTTATCAAATTTATCATTGAGCCACTTAAAATTAGTAGACACAAACCCTTTTATCAAGTGTTCTACGATTTCGTGTCTATGAGAAGCGCATGGATTAGAAACCGTAAACCACTCCATCATTCTTAACGCATCTTTCAATAATATTTCTTGCAATATTTGTTCGCATGGAGTCGCTTTAAAGGATTCAGTAAATATTTCAATATGTTTTAATGACTGTTCAAAAAGTGCTTGTCTTGGGAATCACTATTATTTGGCAGATAGTACATCCAATTTTCCGTTTGCACAGAACAATTCCTAATGTGTTTCTTACGGCAGCGAATTCCGCAATTTTATCAATTGGCGATTTAAACTTTCCGCTTGATAAACAATTAGGCCACGCTGTGTAGCGAAGCTTTGGTTTTCAGCGTTCTCCTCAAAATTTACCTTTTCAGGTATTTCCAGAGGCAGGTATTGCCACCCAATTTTGCCCTTTAGACTATCAAAATATTCTTCCACGATCAGCAAATATTTGAATTCCTGTGCTGACCATATTCGAAAATTGGGTTTCAGGTAATCAAATCTTTTCGGATTGTAAGCGAAAAGAGTTTAATGAATCGACTTCATAAAACTTTTCAATGACTTTCCATGTCGCTTTTCCGACTGGTGTAATTATGTCATGTTTCAAGAAGTTATTTCTAACACTCTTGAATAGATATACGTAATTCCACACGAACTGAGGGACTGGCGGATCGATCAAGAGCCTTCGTCCTTACTACGGCCTGATCGTAGACTATAGCGCGGACATTTAAGCTGGCTGTAGTGCAACACTTAACCGCCTGACCAATGGCTTGGGCGTATTAGTGATTTACATTTTTTTTAACAAAAATTGAGCTAACAAAATAGCTGTAATCATTGACCAGCCCTCTAACAAGCAATTTCTACATTCCAGTAGCTTTGGAGGAGTATTGTTCCTTATCGGAAATTCCGTCTCCCAGGTCTATGTAACCAATTGCTCGGTCAACATTGGCAAGATAACCAATTTCAGGTTTGATGATCATTTCATCAAAAATGAGTGCACAATTTCTGTGACTCTCATCCATTTTTTTTTTAAAGTTTCTTCAATTTTTCAATGTGTTTTTCAAATATGTTCAATTGTTTCTCTCCATGAGCCCTGTTCGAGCTCGTTGACTAAAGCTCTGAAATTTCTTTCTCTAGAAAATAAGGTTGGCCATACAGAATACTATTATAAGTATAAGTACTGTGATAATGCCCCTGCGTGATGTGCGAGAGAAAACTGAACCGCTCGCCGACCGTGATGCCTAGGTACCGATATTTGCGCTTATATGGCAGGCGTGCTCTAGCAAACCGTACCACTGGCGGCCGTCTAAGTATGCCTTTGAGCAGCATGTATCTGTGATAATATTTTATAATCGAAAAGTAAAAAAAAATAAAAATAGGTTACAAAACTAAGAGTGAGACCCTCGGATCGGAAGTCATTCACCTCGTCATTTACCTAAGTGATAGATTTCCCGTTGCCGAAAAATATGTTGTAGCTACATTTACAATTTAAATGTTAAGCACAAATTGTACGCAAAAAATGCACTCAAATTGCACGCAAAAATTGCGTGCAAATTAAAAGATCACTTTTACTTTCCAAATGGATCCATTTTGACTTTTTTTAGAAACTTTTCAACCGTTAAACAGTTAACAATTCACTTTTCAGCACTTGTTGCTTTGTTGTTTGGTTGACGGTGTTTTTATCGCTATCGGTTTAACCCCTTCCTGTGATGAGCGCGAACTATTGCCAATTAAAAAAACAATACATTTTGGCAAAAAACAACCAAAGTAATTTATGAAGTACATCAAATGTTCCGTTAAATTAATTTTTGCATTTCAGATGTGTTTACAAGCCATTTTATTATATATATACTTTGAAACATATTTGCAAATGCATGGTTGGCCAAGGGGTAAAAGGCAGCGGCCAGGAGGGAGAACGCGGAGGCCATTGCGGTGGTTGCGTAGACGCTGTGCGCCTGTGCTCAGCTTGTAGCTGCAGACTCCACTCGAATTTAACTGTAAATGCGAAGAAGGTGGGAAGCACAGAATAACCGTCGAACAGCGGTGGCAGCGGCTTAACCCACTAAAGCCCCCTATATTAAAATAGTTCAACTTCTTGAGGAAAATGTCGGAAAATATTAACGATTTCATCTAAACTTAAAAATAACAACGTTAACTTTCACCTGAACTGCGCTAAAATTATTAAATTTTTATTACTTTCGGTGGAAAATTGAAACACCCCCTTGGCTTATAATATGTTAATCGTTCTCCGTAATGAATTGGAAATCATATTGCTAAATTTTGATGTTCCGTCGAATATTATTAGCTAGATAGAACATTTAGCCATACCCACATTATTCTATACTCTTTAGGAACCAATTTTTTACTTAACTGGCTTTTTCTAAATACTTGCTTTTATTGGATCTTGTCTAAAAATAGGTTTTAGCGATATAGGCCAAACAAAAAAAGAGAAAAAGGATAGTCGTTGCTCACTTTAGAGATTCCGTTGAATAATTCTGCCCAACTAAAACCCTTAGTTCTGCCCACATCATTTTAGGCCATGGATGAATACATTTTCTACAAGATTGGCAGTTTTTAGTCCTGGCTTCTTTTCGACTTAAGCAATGCTTGAACAAAATAGTTAAAAAGATGACCGATTCCGTCAATTGGAATTGGGTGTTCCTGATAACGACATGACAACAGCCAAACCGAATTTCGCTACACCTAGTTTGGATGGCACAACAATTAGCTTTTCATGACACAGTTCGAGATGTCAGCGTAGAAGAATATTTGGACGGAAGCTGACCGTGCGTCCACTTTGGTGATTTCCTGGAATGGTCTTGCTACTAAGATGCTACATTCGGTTCCCGACGCAGATGAATTGAATTATTGAATCGCCCTGGAGCGTCGATATGGTAGTGACCAAATGCAGGAAGTTCATCGCTTTGAGCTGAAGGGCAGGTTACAACGTTACGGGGAGTCGCTTCAAGAGTTCGCGATGGACATAGAGCGACTCTCACAGCCGACTTTTTGAAGAGAAGAAAAGAGGCCCTACGGACGGTCGACAGTTCACCAAGTTGGAGGAGAAGACCGCCGAGCAGCTCTCGTCTCCAGCCAGGCGGAAGTGGAATCGAAGAAAAAACAGCTGGAAACCACAAATGCGGCACTGGAGAAAATAAAGAGCTTAGTTGCTTGCTTAGCTACTTAGCTACTTAGCTACTCATGGTCCAAGCATCAGAGTTGGCTGATCACAGATGTGGACAAAGACAAAAGTTTGACCAGTCGCAATAGAGCGCTGGTGAAACGCATTCTCTTCAAGACGAATACGCTCGGCCATGCGGATATTGAGAAGAACATTGAGACCAAAAAGTACACGTGCTTGACGGAGCTCTTTATTGATTTGCTCGACTTGCATCTACCATATTTTTTGACGCTCAAAATCTGGCATCACTGGCCCAGAGACCACAAATTCCCCAGCCTGAGTGGCGGCCGCCGCCAGATAATTGTATTTCAATTTAAACAAATACTTCCGGCATGGCCATAGCACTCTGCTAAAGAATGCCATGTTTTTTGGTGCCGGTGTGACCCATCGATCAGCGTGAATTTTGATATGATAGGGGTGTGCGAGCGCGCCAAGATAATGGATCGACGAAAGCCTCACTTCAAAAAATACTTATTCTCAAACACTGTGAAGGCATAAGCCTCCACAAAAGAAAACCTGACCACAACACCATCCCCTGAAGGGACAGCCCCGGGGGGGCTTATTATCTCATTATTACT